ACTCAAAAGCAAAAAAATACAAATGTCCAATATATAAATAAGTCTAATATTTTTGCTCTGTTAATCATAAAAATCAGATTTTGTCTCTGTTAAGTACAGTAAAAACATAAATCAATAGGTATAGTATCTTTAGATAAAAATCATCCAACTAAAGAGTAACTCATAAAGTCCATAAAAAGTGTCTCTTAATGTTCAGAATATCCAGAAACACCTGTTTCTATGGATAAAGACCATGTCAATGATACCCACCACTGCAAAACACACCGCCTCTTACCAGATTGTTAGACCCCAAATGATAGGTGTTCTAACATAGTGCAGAGCTGCATGAATCATGCTTCATGGATTTCTTAGCATAGGGGACCTACAGTATACTATGCACCTTCAGAATACTCCGCTTGTATCTTTCCCTTTCTGCTCCGCTGTGCGGCTCGTTCAAAAAGGTGAGACCCCAAATAGTGTAATGTAAGTATTTTTAATATATAACATTTTTACTTACAAACATACATCGATATATGCAATTAATAGTAAAAACACCACTGGTGCCAGCTCCAGATAGGCATTGGTGGCAGGGCTGAGTTTTGTGCTGATGTCCTCCACGCCTGTCTGGAGCCAGCACCAGTGGCATTTTTACTATTAAATGCATATTTCGAGCATAAAGGGAGAGATACATGCAGGGGCAGACTGACAACTCATGGGGCCCCCAGGCAATACGGAATCATGCCCCTGTGTCCTTGCCCAAACTCAAAAAAGCCTATGAAAAAGGTACCAGGGGCATCTCATGGGGCCCCCTACTGACCCCGGGCCCTCGGGCAGTGACCGAGTTTCCAAATGGTCAGTCCACCCTTGTTGGGGACTGATGTGAATGTACAATATATATGTAAAGCGTTAGGTAAATTGAAAGCACTATACAAGTAACTGTAATAAATAAATCCATATACTATATAACAAATATTATCATCGTGAAACAAAGAAAATGTAAGGTTTGTGAATACAACAGCCAATCAATTTATTAAAAGGTGCTAAAAATGACATTTGTACTTTAGCTGGTTGCTATAGGCAGCACCTCGGCTCTCATTTCCTTCAGTTTATTTTTTACTTAGCCCTTGTGTATCTGTTTTCAGCCAGTCAGTTGTATCAGATTACTTCCACCCAGCGTGTGCAGGGATAAACTTTGTACGCTTTTAAATTTAACACAGACTGTTTTTCTGAATTGGGAACAACACTTGGCCACGTACTGTTCTCTATGTCAGAGGGAAATCCTTTGGATGCCAATTTGCAGAATCAGCAAATTGCAAAAAAAAGCAAAAAAACTCAGTGTACATAATACTTCTCAAATTACAACTTGTACGCCTCGCAAGGGAAAACAAAACATTATTATAAATTTAGGATTGGGCTTTTGACAGTGGTGCATAATAAACAGAAATATGTTTTAAAGTGTTATGCTATAAAATGTTACTCTAAAATGTATTTCTATTTCTTTTTAAAGAGATAGCAAGTACTTTCATTAAGATAACATGCCAAACTGGAATGGAAAAGCATTTCAAAAGCATTAAAGTGTTCGTTTACCTTTTCAGAAAAATTCAAAGTTGAACTAACACTGTACACTCCCCTAGTAAGTGCTGTACTTACCTCCATTGGTCAATGCCGGCACCATCCCAGAAGCCCAGCAGAAAGAAAAGGGAGAAGAGCAGAGATTTCAAATCCCCAGACCATTACACCAGCTGCGTGGGCACTGACAGCTCATCACCCATGGAGGTGAGTACAGTGGGGACCAAGGCATGGGGAGCATGGTTGTTATTAGTCCACCTTTTCATTTTTTTTATCCCCTGCTACTATAATCCCTCTAAAATGAGGATTGAAGGAGGTAGGTTTCTTCTAAACCAGGCGACAGCAGCACAAGGAACACATCACACTGATAATAAGTAATGTCCCTTGTGCTGTTTTTTTTATTACTAAACTTAGGAATTAGGCTTCATACACACTGGGCTTAAAAAAACCTCCAGCTGCCTTGGCAGAGAAAAACGCTGATAAAGAGAGTTTTTGTACACAGTCTAGGAGAGTTTAGCATTTTTTCTGCCAACATCAAAAACGCAAACCAGATGGGTTTTTTCTTTCCTCTAAACATTGAGCCTAAAATATGTCTCTAATTGTCCTAATGTGCATGGACTCATAGGATAACACTGAGCTGCTTCGACAGGCAAAATGCTAAACTCCTGTAGAAGCAGTGATTTTTAATCCAATGTGCATGGAGCCTAAGGGAGCACCAGTGATATTGTGTAGGGATCTACAGTCTAGGAATTTTTCTCCACATATCCATACAACATGTAAGGGACCTGGATTGGACAGAGTGTGTATGGTGAGCCTTAGGATCTGTGTCGACAGGCTTATGTTTACATCAGACAGGTTTTGTATTCCCATACAAGTGTATGGGAATGTAAAATCCACTTGAAGCAGTTCAAATAAAAGAATTCATTGACAGCTGCAGAGCATATGTATATGTACCTGACGTTAAATTATAAGCGTCTAACACTGATAATATGTGTAGAGCGTTGTGTACATTGACGGCACTATATACAGCGGGTGAAAGAAGTACTGAACATGTCACCATTTTTCTCAGTAAATTCCATTTTATTACACATAACTAAATTTCTGAACTTATTTGGTTTTGTTTCTTTGTATGTATGGATTGCATGGGTTGATAGCAACATGTAGTAAAAATTTCATGTCATAGCACCTTTAGAAATATAGTTACTGAAATAAATGGTGACATCTTCAATACTTATTTTACCCGCTGTAAGTACCTGTAATAAGTAAATACATGTCATCAACAAATGTCCAAAGCCCATTGACAGCCTTTAGGCTGCCTCTACCACTTTCTCTTTCTCTTAACCAAGTACTCAAAGTTCACCAAAGCCCTAAATGAACACTTAACCTCCCCCCTAAGACTTAACCTAAACATCTAAGCATTTCCCTCATTCAAAACTTTAGTCCTTAACCCTAATAACATTGAATAATAATAATAACCCTAAATCATTCAACCCTCTAAAACTGAAACCAAATCGAAATCCCTTACAATTAACCCCTATTAATGCATACTTACCTTTTCCTAGGCTAAACAATCAGGGCATTTCTCTATCAGGATAGACACAGAAAGCACATACAATGTCAACCAATGTGAGCATAAAAAATGACAGCTTTGTGTTTCTCAAAATAAAATGCGTACATCACCAAGGCCTGGATTCTTTCTTGGATACAGAGAATATAACTGGATACTAACATTTATAGGTAAAGTTGATCCAGGGAATATCCGATTGCCTCTCGGATCAGGAAGGAATTTTTTTCCCAGCAGGATCAAATTGGATCGTGCTTTGCTGGGGTTTTTTACCTTCCTCTGGATCAACTGAGGGTGTAGGATTATAACTTTTTTTTTTTTCTATGGTTGAACTGTATGGACTTTTGTCTTTTTTCAGCCAGACTAACTATGAAACTATGTAACTTGAGCTGATGGTTCCATAAACAAAACAAAAGTAAGTAAATTCCCTAAACAACCCAGTTATTACCAGGACCGTACAGAACACTCTAGATGAAAGCAATACATTGACAATAACTGCAAAGTGACCCAGTTAAGGGGTCAACAAAATTTGAAATGCATTATCCTGTAAAGAAATCAGGTTTGTACTTACCTGTACAGTGGCTAGTTTTCCAAAACTTCACTCTTTAGCAGTACTCATTACACCATTCCTTTCCTCCACTTCTTAGTATGTGGAATAGTGTGTCTCTGCTGGCCACTGTGCTTCCTCCTGCCACCCCCAGTGACCGGGGGGCCAGCAGGTGGAACCATAGTGTCCAGTGGGGGGAAACCACTATTCAACCAGCTTACCAACCAGGTTTCAGATCAGATTGGCATAGGGAGCTCTGCTACAGAGTAAGCGTTTGGCAAAGAGGCCGACATACAGGTTTATAGAAACCTGCTTTCTTCACAGGGTAATGCTTCTCTATCTTTTGACCCTCTGACAGGGTCATAGTAATGTTACATTATCAACAGTATGAAGGGACTTTTTTTGCATGAAAGCAACTCTCAGTTTAGTGCTGAATAGCTTTAAGGCTAGGTTCACATCTGTGTGGGTGGTGCCACTGCGGATCCGTATGAAAATCTGTGTAGCCACACCACCCGCACAGAGGAATGGGGACCAGCGGGGCGGGTGCCATTAGTTCTAATGGCACGCCGCCTGCACTGGAATAGGCAACCGTACTGGGAACTGAGGTTCCCATGCGGGTTGCGTTTTCAGAAGAAGTGCAGGGACTTCTTCCCTGCGTGTCACGGGGCACGGGAGTCCATTCAAATGAATGGGCTCTCATGCCCGCACAAAACGCGGCATGCACAGCCGCATATATGTGAACCAGGGCTAAAACTGGCTATTAATGGTGCCTACTACTTTTTACTGTTTTTGATATTATTTATTTATTTATTTATTTCAGGTACTTATATAGCGCCGTCAATTTACATATATATCGTACATTCACATCAGTCCCTAACCCTCAAGGGGTGTACAATCTAAGGTCCCTAACTCACATTCATACATACACATACTAGGGCCAATTTAGACAGGAGCCATTTAACCTGCCAGCATGTCTTTGGCGTGTGGGAGGAAACCATATTGACAATGGTTAATGCCATACTGTTTTAAGGGAGTATTTAACTGTTTTTCTTCTGCTCTGTACGACAGCTTCTATTCTTTGTACTCCTTATTTAAACTTCTAATAAAATATAACCTTAAAAAAACTGAATATGAATGAGATATCTGCATTTCCAGGAAGAACTTAACAACTGCAATATTGTGGGAAGGAATCTGACATTTCAATGCTGTCCTCACTCAGGAAATTAAAATATATAGCAAAATGGAGAATTATACAATAAGCAATGTACTTTCCAGAATGACTGTTATTACCTTATATTCATTTGAACTAAAAATATTGGTGCTGACAGATGTTGTTAGCACCAGGGGCGGACTGACAACTCATGGGGCCCCCGGCAATAGGGGATCATGGGGCCCCTGTGTCCTTGCCCAAACTCAAAAAAGGCTATGAAAAAGGTACCAGGGGCATCTCATGGGGCCCCCTACTGACCCCGGGCCCTCGGGCAGCGCCCGAGTTTCCAAATGGTCAGTCCGCCCCTGGTTAGCACTAAAGGACTATAGACTAAAACATTTTCTTTAGAGCTTACCGTGTAAAGTTAATCTTTTTTTGCCGATCATGTAGCTACAAATTCATTAAACAAACACTATTCACCATACCTGAATGGTGAAAATGAATGGAGGCAAGGATCATGTATGTAATCAACATCTAATTGGTCCTACATGTAGATACTGTGAGCTTTGATGTTGTAATTACATTTCACTGTTCATGTGGGTATCTCATGTCTAGTTATATGGGAATCCATACCATTGTTCACTTGCATGAAGTATATTAAATCATAAAAATCAATGGCCAGATTAGAAGATCTGTAAATCAGAATCCAGGCTTAGACTGTGAATCAGAAGGTTAAAACAAAGCAAGCAGTCAAAGACATTTGATAATTGATACCCAGTCCAGAAGACTGAGATGTCTAGGGTACCAGCAGACCTCAGAAGACATTTTCGGTGAATTGGTCTTAGGGAGAAAAGCCTAGGAGTCAGTGGATTACGTCAACCAATATATTCCGGCCAAGATTAATAGCAGTGCCTGCGGTGTCTGCTGCTAAGCACTCAGACATGAATATTCTTACATACAAAACTGCCTATCTGAACATCTGTATGAAAAAAAGAGTTGAAGTCAGATTATTTGAAAACATTATACCTCAATAAAATGTATTTAACAACAGATGCAGCAAATCCAAATCCATTAAAAGTCTGTAGACCAAAACCAGTACATTCTTTAACCTGAAATTCATTTTACAACATAAGACACTACTCGACATTAAATCTACAGACAAAATGGGAAACACAGAAAACAAAAAAAAAGTGGATTACGTATATGTTTAGACAAGGGTTAGATACTGAAAGTATGCAGTCACAGCAGAAAAAAACTAAATGTCAAATAAATACACTAACAATGATTTAACAAGGACTTTACCAGTACTTCATAATATATCCCACACTAATAACGTTTATAAATCAAATTTTATCACCACAATAAAATCAATTTATTTTCATGAAAATAGGCACTTTGCCATATGCATTCACTAGTTTACGCCTAATTTTCTCACATCCTTCTCCTGTGTAAGGCTAGGTTCACACTGCAGTTTGTGTTTGATCCGTTTCTGCAGTGCATTTTTGCACAAGTGTTTTTTACGCGTTTTGCATTTTTTTCCTAACTTGTTGCTGGGCAGATTAAAATGCAAAATGCATCAAAAACGCACTACATGCTTTTCTGCAGCATCTCCATTGAAGTCTATTGAACCAAAAATGCAACGGTTTTCATTTAAGAAAGTCCCTGACCCTTTCCAAAAAATGCATCAGGCAAAAACTCTTAGATTGTAAGCTCCAAGGAGCAGGGCCCTCCTAACCCTCTTGTGTTGAACTGTATTGTTGCTGTATTGTCTCCCTTTATATTTTAAAGCACTGAGCAAACTGTTGGTGCTATATAAATCCTGTATAATAATAATAATAAAAAAATGCGGAGATGTGAACCTATCCCATAGGAAATCATGTTAAATGGACTGTTGTGCGTTTCTGCAAAACGCAACAAAAAATGCATAGGTGTGAACCTATACTACTAAAATTGATCTGAGTGTGTCTATTATACTTTTATTGTGTGAAGCATCTCTCAAATTTTAGCAGGGATCAGTAGGGAATATTACTCTAGGCATTTCTCAGATCAAAAGTCTGCTTTGTCAGGAGATTGATAGGAGGAGTACAATTTTTGATATATATAAAAAATATCCACAGCGCATACTATATATAAGTCATATAAAACTGAACAGTGCAAAAAACAAACATAGAAAGTACATAGATGCTTGGTCCCAGGTAGATAAGCCATTGATTCATCCCTGGGGGGCACAGGGAACAAAAGGGAAACTAACTCAAGCAGAACCTACAGGATGTATATAATACTATCCAAAGTTTGATGGTAATATGCCAAAAATGTGGCAAAATATCTAAATAAAGCTAAAGGTGGCTTACCCTTGGTTAACACAAAGGGGATGTCAGGACTTGGATTACCTGCTGGTGGCACTGTGCTTCTCAGAGCAGAAGGTTGTAGTTCCGATGTCCACTGTGTATCTTTCAGCAGCCAGCAGATCCCAGTAATCAATATCCACCCGATGCTGGCTCCTGGGTGGGTACTTATGTCTTGTCCTATTAGTGCCTCTCACTCCAGTGTTTTGCTTGCTGCTGATGCTGCTAACCATTATCTTGCTCCTGCTCCTGCCATTTGCTGTAACCTGTATCCTGCTGCCTTGTACCTACTCTCCCTTGTTCCTATTCCCAGTTTTACTTCCCCCCTTCCCATCTGCTCCCTTCACCTCCAGTTTTCCCTGCTTTTTTGTGTTCCCCATTTTGTATATATTGTATATAGTTGTTAGTTTGGCTTTCTGTTTGTCAGTTATTAGTCGGGTATTCTGTCACTGGGTTTTTGGTTCATTTGTATTATGTTTGCTGTGTACTGATGTTTGGATGGGTCTCCCTTAAAGCATACACAGTCTGGTCCCAGTTTCCTGTGTGTACCACACAAATCTGGCCATCCCTGTTGCTGATTCCTGACAGGGGTAATCTTATACAGAAAAAGGAGTAAATAGCAACTGGTCCATCTTCCAGCTGATGGCCTAATAACAGAGATTGGTAGCGAGCACTCTGTCCCTTTTTATTCCCCAGTGGGACATGAACGCCACTTTTCAAATTACATAAGTAAAGAATATGTAAAGTAACAGCACCAACACTTAAGCTTTCAAAAGGAAAAATCATCGATTTTTTTATTCTTCCCCATTTTAAGTGCAGAGATAGGCCTGGTGCCACTGTTCACAGTATTTGTCCTGCTTGTTGTGTATGTACAACCTATGTGTGTCAGAGATCTTTGATGTTTAAACCATTTCCAAACAACCCTCTTTTAATGAGTATACCAAGGAACAATAGGTAGAGTCTTTGACAATCATGAAGATGATGTTTTTACCCTAAAACAATGGTAGCGGTTTTGAAATCATAACAGTCATATTTTGGATGCAAATACTGCTTAGAGGAGTTTGTTTTTAATTTAAAAATGCAAGCCCTGAAAGAACTCATGTAGGAACCAGTGCTAAAATATGAGGCTTAAGATGTATACAATAATCTTGATATTTCATGCAACATTATACTTTGGGTAATGCACTGTAATCTGAGGTGTTGCATGCTTGTCTGCAATGACTGAGCAACATGATAAGAAACAAGACTCTTGAAGATGATGAGGACTGTGTGGCAGGTGAAGAAACACAACTGTCTGGCTGAAGGAGAACAGATGGTATGTCTGCTATTTCAGCTGATTAAACAGGGAAAGGATTCTTTTCAACTTGACAGCAAGCTGCCTACACAATACTTACAAACATTCAAGACTCAGGACATGGCCTGATGGGTGGGTGCCAAGTTAATGAGATGCCTCTCGTAGCATGTTATCATTTAGTTGCCAGGCATGTTTTGATATTTTGTTTCAAATTCCCAAACTCCTTGTTAACTGTCCTGCAAGCTAAGATTTCATGATCGAAACCCGACTTTTGTAGGTTAAGTATAGAGAGACATTTAGACTCCACGGAGTGTTTTGACGTCCCAGGAAGTCAAAGGATAGATTTCAAAAGATTAGGCATGCAAAATACACAAAGTGGCCAAACCTGCACGAAAACACGAAAATCTGTCTAGGTGGGTTTTCAGGCTGTTAATGAATATGAAAAGAGCTTGATCTATTTTACAGACAGGCAAAACCTTATTTATTTTATAATGATGAAGGTTCCTCTGAGGTAATATTGTAATGGATCAGAACTTAGTAGTTGTTTGTTTTCAGTATCAGCGAATTTCTATTTCATGAATACATTTCAGTTAACAACAAGCTTAAAGTTATATTAAAGCTAAACACAAAAATGTTATATTTTGCAGTTTACCAATATCTGTTATATGGTTTGTCTCAACCTTCTAACTGCCATTTTTGCTGCATAGCTTAGTTTGTTAAAAGAAGTTTAAAAATAAGAGGCTTACTTACCAGGTTACCAGGTGAAAGTAAAGGGAAAAAAAAAAAATCTTAAAAGAGAAAAATAATAGAACTACCACATCTAAGAATTGGTAGGAAGCAATATATTATTTTTTGTTTTTTTGGTTTTTAAATCGTTTTAAAGTAAAAACTCTTCTTTAAAAAAATATTGAATCTATAGATATGCTACAGAAGTCAGATATACTGTACTTTTCTAAAAAAAAACAAAATGTTTCTATGCAAACATTTAACCGTCACTAGGTACAGAACACCCCTAATTGTGTCATCTCTTGTCCGCGTTATTGGCTTGTTGCTTTAATCAGCTGCATATTCTTTATGGAACTGATCATGTGATTATAGCAGGTATAGTCTCCGTTTAAGCAAACATGAAAGAAAACAAATTACTGGAATGCCAAGTCTCTGTATCTACAGAACACAAGCAGATAGCAATCTGCAGTAAAATTTGCTAAAAATAGACTTAAATAGTTACATAGTTAGTCTGGATGAAAAAGACAAAAGTCCATCCAGTTCAATTATAAAAAATAAAAAGTTATAATCCTATACCCACAGTTGATCCAGAGGAAGGCAAAACAACCCAGCAAAGCATGATCCAATTTGCACCTGCAGGGAAAAAAATTCCTTCCTGATCCCCCGAGAGGCAATCTGATATTCCCTGGATCAACTTTACCTATATATGTTTGTAACCAGTTATATTTTGTGTATCCAAGAAAGAATCCAGGACTTTTTTAAAGCAATCCACTGAGCTGGCCAAAACCAACTCTTGAGGTAGTCTATTTCTCACAGCTCTTACTGTGAAGAAACTTTTCTGCATTTGGAGATTAAATTTATTTTCCTCCAGACCTCACCTCAGGGTGAATAACTCTACCTCGAGTTAACTATATGGACCACCTATGTGTTTATACATATTGATCATATCCCCCCTTAATCTCCTCTTCTCAAGAGAGAATACATTCAGTTCCTCTAATCTTTCCTCATAGCT